TTCCTTTGGAAAGGAGACTTCTCATTTTTGATGTCATACATAGGGGATGACAGCAACAGCCATACAAGGTATAGGATTTTTGTTTGATTTTTTTTATTGCATTTCCTCATTCAGTGAGAGACCCCCTCTCCATAGAGAGGGCCTCATGCTCTTGAAAGGTGGCAAAGGCATATAGTAAGTCTGTGTGGACATTCACCCTTTGTTCCTTGTTAATTAGGGCTAACAGTTCTGGCTGTTGAACTGACCACCCCATTTGGAGGGTGCCTTGAATCTTATTCCTATCTCTGTTACAGCAACATATCTTTGCAAATGCATCCCATTTGACAGAACATTGCTGCCATCCATGTAGAAGGTTTTGATCTGGAGAAGATAAAGGCTGATCTATCAAGTTTGGGTGACTAGAATATTTCATGTCCATTGTTTCAATGTAATCATGATCTGAAGGTGCCAGTTCAGGAGGTAAGGAAGTGACGGAATTTAATGCTTTGACAGTTTCCAGGTATAGGGAGGTTTCATCATGGGAGGCTTTTCCATAGGTCCTTTCAGGGGTTAGTGAACCTGTGGTACACTTGGTTGCCCGGAAGGGCCTATCACTACATGTGGGCTTTGAAGTTTAGGGATTATCCCAAAATCAGTCAGCCCTTCAGCCAGAAAAATGGCTGTGGCCACCAGGAGCTCATAGTAAATGTGGCCATCCAGCTGACACAGTGTCTTGAGAGTTCAGAAGGCATCTTCTTGTTGTCCCACTCAAATAGCTTCTTTTCTCCCCACTTTTTGACTTCATAGAAATGTTTGTGTATGAGTAATTAGGTATTTAGATACAACAAAAGCCAACTGCCCCCAGAAACTCTCAGATCTGTCTCTCTGTATTTGTGATTGGGAAGGCCCAAACTGCACCTTTTCATTCAGACCCCAAGGCCCAATATCTTTTGAGATCTGGAATCAAAAGTCCTTAAATATTTAAATTCATTTTGGCAGACCTGGGTCTTCCTGAGGGAGACCCAATATCTAGCCCCTTGAAGTAGATCTAGTAGCATTTCTGTTTCCCCTTTGCAGTCCCTTTAAAGTTGCACTTGCAAGGAGTAATCATCCATGCATTGCAGTTGTATAACATTCATATTTGCACTTAGAAATGTGCTAGATCATATGTCAGTATTTCCTCAAATATCATGGGGGAGTTTATGAACTTTTGGCGCAGTTAAAACCAGGTCAATCGTTCCTTCCAGGTGGTTGTGGTGTCTTCTAATTCAAAAGTGAGTGTGGGATGACTTACAGGTGTCAGGTGGATGCAGAAGAAGGCATCCTTCATATCCAGGCATGTGAGCCATTGGGCTTCATCAAATATGAGGCAAGGGAGGATTTAAGGATTGGAACCCACCAGATGGATAGTGGTAATGTCCTGGTTGATGACTCATAGGTCCTGGAAATGTCCATAATCATTAATACCTGGTTTCTTCACAGGGATCAGTGGAGTATTCCATTAATATTGGCGTTTTCAGAGCAGTCCAAACTCTAATATTAGTCTCTGAAGATGATCCTGGATGCCATCCTTGGCTTCTTGAGATAAGGGATATTGTTCTGCCTTATTGGGTAGGCTTCAGACAGAAGCTCTAATAATACAAGCTGATGGTTGGTGGCCAGCCCAGGCAGGTTGCTCTCACTCCACACATTGGGGAAGTGGGAACTCCAAGTATCCCAGAGAGAGTCGGGGTTTGTGGTGGGCTAGGAGTAGATTCTCCATTGTTCTTCTTGGGGAATAGTGACTGACAGGATCAGAGAGGTAATATTCTTGGCTCCCTGCAGTTCGAGGAGATCAGCACTACATCAAGATAGAAAATGACCCGTGAACCTAGTTTATACAATATTCCCTAGACATTTTAGGTATTAGACGAATTCATGTTTCTCCCAGCGGCCTCCAATTATGCTACTGTGACACTCTCAAACGTGTGCCTTGTCCAGACTCTTGTGACACCTACTATTGTTATCTTCCCTGGCATGTGGCCCTCTAGTTTGACAACCAAATATTCAGCTCCAGTGCCCCCCATAAAGTCCATCAAGCGGCCCTTCACTTTCATTTTGACCATGGTCTTGTATTATTGAAGCCAGTCTGTCTCAGTCAGAGTGATTCCAAGCAGTCTGATATAGTTGTGGTGGATGGTTTGGCTTGATACAGAATGTAATCCTGTTTTGTTCTCTGGTCTCTTCTCTTCATCTCTGTATTCTAATTGAGGTATTCTTTTTCCAGCATTCAATTTCCTTGCATTAAGTACATTTATACTTTTGTAAGGGAATCAGTCTTAGGCCTGGTTCCTGTCCAGTCCCTTCTGGGCTTGGGGGTGGTACATTTGGCCTAGAAGGTGTCTTTTATTTCCTCCCTCTGTCTGATTCCTTTCCTTTTGGTATATTCCTAGTATATGAATACTTTTTTGGCAAACTCAAATATTTGGATACTACTCATTCCTGTGAACTCCCCTAGTTCTTGTAAATTCCAGAAATGTTCCCTTATATTTGGCCCACAAAGGTGCAATTCACCATTGTCTGGTTTTTGTGGGCCTCAGAGTCAAAGGCAATGTCCAGGCAGAAGGCATCACATAGCCTTTCATAAAAGTCAATGGGACTCTCATTTGGTTTCTGGAGGGCTTAAGTGCTTTTGGACTTATTGGTAGACTTCTTTGCTCCTCCTCTTAGTCCACCAAGCAAAGAGTATTAACCCTTCTCTAGGGTGGTCTTATTGCTACCTGAGTTGGGTTCCAGTGGTGATCTTCTCAGAGGTATTTCTGTCCCCCACCTCAGTATTCAATTGCCTCACTGGGCCATAAGCCATTAAATATTTTTGGTCTCAGTTATGAATGACTTGCCACACTGTATTTTAGTTATTAGGAGGGACAGGAGGATTTGGTGGCAGTCTCCCCAAGTGGAGAAGTGAGTTTAGCAGGTGGAATTGACTAAGTCAATCATATCTTGGAATTTCACATTGTATGATGAGTATCGTGATTCCATTGAGCAGATCTATGTGGAGAAGAGCTGGTAGCAGAAAACAGACTGTACTCCCTGTACACTCCCATCCTGTGCCACATTTTCCAGACGTCTGGCCTTTCAAAGGGTCATTTGGAAGGCAGTTGCTCTCTCTGGGATGAACAGAAGTATCTCAATCCTGTTTGAGTTCCTCAACCCTTGGGGGAGATATGGATGTTGATGGATTCTCTGGAAAAAGGGCAGCGTCTGCAGTAGGAGAAGAGGCATAGAAAGGCAATGGCACCTAGTGTTCATTTGAATCTGTCTGAAGTACTGGTAGAGGCTTGGTGGAGCCTTGATTTTAATGGAGTCTTGACTAATAACATTCTACAGTGTCCCTGGCTATGAGAACTGAAACTTATCCAGGAGCACTGAATCAACTAGATTTGTAACTAAGAATCTAATGTATGTGAACTAGTCTGGGAGACCTGAATTTTCTATTTCTATGAAGAATGTTGTGGAGACTTTGATGAGGGTTTCAATGAATCTGTAATTGCCTTTGGTATTGTTCTAGTTTTCCTTCAACTGCTGTGACAAAACACTCTGACTGATACCAACTTGGGAAGGAAAGGGTTCATTGGTTTACATCTTCTGGGTAACAGTTCATCATGGGGGGGAACCCAAGAACTCAGTCAATCCTTGTTAAGGCCCACTGGGTTGTCAGTGTCCCCAACTGTTCCCCAGTGGAAGTCCATCCACTAAGTCTAGTCAGCCTATCTAATGTCCCTTGTTTTAGGAAGATCAGCTCTTATTCATCTAGCAGCAATCAGTTACCAACATTCCTTCAGATAAGATTGGGGTCTACTGTTCATTTTCCCAGTTCTATGCTGGGTAATTGTCTGCCTAATTTTGCATGGGACTTCTGTATGCGGATGCCATTGTCATAGAATCATATTGGCAGGTTCCCAGGAGCTTGTAGGACTATGTTTCCATGTGGTCATGCACCTTTTCCCTGGCTCTTACAATCTTTCTGCCTCCTCTTCTGTTATGGTCCCTGAGCCCTGGGTGGGTGAAGTTTAATAAAGAGATACTGTCCAAAGACCAGCATTCAGCAGACTGTTGATCTCTATACTTTGGCTATTTGTGACCTTTTGTGTTCCTGGCCCTCCCTTTCGTGAGGAAGCTTCATTATTGAGAAATGAGAGATTCATTAGTGTCCTCTTCATTATTCCTGTTCTATATTCTGTGAGCCTTAGGTGAAGAGGTTACATTGTAGATGTGTCACTTAGGCCTGGGCGATTCATAGACAATGTCTGTGTGTGACCAGTTGTGGTACTTGGTAATAGTCTCTGGTGCAAAATGAGCTTCTCTGATGAGTGGTGACTGGGATATTTGTCTATAAATATAAGGATTCATATTTTGCACATAGTAAGAAATCACAGTAGTCTAGCGATGTGACAGTCTTGGGTTTTATCTAAGATCTATTGCCACTCCAGCCATGTGTATTAGGCTATGTTTACATTACCACACTTGAGTTTCCTGCCTCTGAGTGGGAGTTTAGTCAAATTAGAATGCTGTTGATTTCCCCCAAGATAACAGTGCCACTACTGCACCAATGATGTATGTTGTGCTGGACACTGATGTGGTTATTTGGTCTTAAAGCTGGTGTTGGATCAGCCATTGATGTTCTCCCTTGGCACCTTCATAGTGCTCTCCAAAGCTATGATAGCTAGCCTTCAAGGGAAGTGGTTGCAGGTCAATTGCAGTCTATTGATCCAAATTCTGTGTCCAAAGTATGCCCTGTCTTCTGAAGCAGGGTCTTACCTTCAAGTTCTGGGAGGCCATCAAGGGCTGTGGCAACAGCCTGAGTAATTTTGGGAGTCTGTTGGACCACCCTGGGTAACAGCTCAAAAGAAGGTATCTCCTGGCTGGCACTGTTTCTTGTTATGTAGCCTTTAGCTCTACACATGGACTCTTGTGGAGATAATGGATATAAAATTTGTCAGTAGGTTGTTGGAGTAATATAGTTCCCTCTGGTTCCCTCTGGTTCAGTTCACCACAGTTGGCCTCCTTGCTGCACAATCGGGAGTTTGCATCATAGCCAGGTGTTATCACATGCCAGTTTTGACCTTCTTAAAGGATATATTAAAGGATGGAGAAATGGCCCAGTTATTAAAGTGCTTGCCACACAAACATGAAGACCTAAATTCAGATTCAACACAGTGTGTATACATCCTGGCACAGTGGCAAACATCAGTAATCCTGGAGCTGGAGATACCGAGACAGAAAGATAGTTAGAGCTCCCTGGTATGCTAGTGTTCATGAATCAGGGTTCTCCAGGTGCACTGAGAGGCCATATCTCAAAAACTAAGGGGGAGAACAATTGAAGAAGACATGAACCATTTACTTCTGGTTTCCACATATATATTTGCACAATGTGCACTTGCACCTAAACATTCACATATGCAAACACATGCAAACACACATGAACACACAAACAAAAAATTACAAATATTTTTTGTACATTTGTTGTTTAGATATTTCAAATAAGATTTCATAATTACTCTATATTAATATTATAAATGATCATATATATATAAAGTATTTCACTGGTCATATAGTTAAGATTTTTTAGAGTGTTAAAAAATAGTTGGCATAATCATAGAGCTATAATTTATCCCAGAATCAATAGTGATTTATAACAATTTAGATAAATATCAAGAATTCATTCATCTTGCAAAAATGCTTATATTTGTCATATAACCATTTTTAATTAACAGTTTTAGAAAAATAAGAGGTATTAAAAATGTAAGAGGATGACACAATTAGTCTTCACAATTAAAAGCTACTTTTAAACTCTGAGAAAACATATTATCTTCTTAAGTCAATCCATTACTTTTAGTAGTGAATAATGTTTCAATTACTACTGATAATAAAATTAATATTATTTTCCCCAAAGGTATAAGCACATATAATAGCAGAAAGATTGATGAGATGGCTAATTATGTTACACTTAAGAACAATATTATTATTAGAGCAGAGAAAGTCTTCTAGCTTTTGAAACTCATTTATCCCATCAACACAGCAAGAATACAAAACATTCTCACTATTGTATATATATAATAGAAATACTATTCCCTTAAAAATAGAGTGGAGTGGCTTTTTAGGCTACTTACAGAAATGGCAAATATAGCATCTGATAGAATTAATGATTCTACTCTGACTAAAATGTTAATTCTTGAGGAATTTCATATAGATTTGTAAAAGCTGGTTTGGATGGTGAAGATTAGTGTTAGTTTAATATTAAAACAAAATCGTCATCAAAGTTTGTCTTCAAGACTTGTTTTTTCATTATGCTAGGTTTTGAGGCTATATGCTTCCATCAGAAAGTATAATGTAGAGTCTAGAGATCAAATGTTAACCATGTACACATATTTTTACCAGTTTGACTACAAAGCTGAAGAAATAATTTGTTATTATCATTAGAAAAAGTGGTATTAATGCAAAATCAATATGTGTATATATATGTGATTCTCATTATTAACTGTTCTGTGGAGGTTGGCAGGAATCACTAAATGGATACAGAAGGCATTATTTTTAGCATATCAATACTTATAAATTTATCAAAATGTTATTTATAAGTACCTACACCGTGGTTTCTTTTATGAAAATAATCATACATAAACATATTAAATAAGAAATATGCTCAGGTTCATTATTCATTTTATACATCATATAATGAATGATGATAATAAGAAATAATATTGTAGCATATTTGTATGATATAGTCATATACAATATGGTAGTCGTTCACTATAATGAATACATAGAGATGCATAGAATCTAAAGATAACAAAAGGCAAAAGTACTGTGAAGTTTCTCCCACAATCCTCAGGTTAAGATACTTGTACATCTCTATATTTGGTTTTTCTTTTAGCAAGAAAATATATTAATTTTATCCTACATGCTGCAACCAGAATTGCATCATAATTTATAATACATTTACTTTCATAATCTCATGCATTCTATTTTATCCTGTGCTGCCTTTTTCCTCGAGGAAATATATTAATATGAGCAAATACATTTATGAAATATTGCAGTTTTATCATTACTCAAACAATTAACTGCACATTCAAGAATATTTTTAGCTTGTATTTAAGCAGTAGTAAGATCATCTTGTGAAAAGATTTCAGTATATCCTCTTACAGGAGCTGTATTATATTTTTCCAACTATCATATAATCCTGCGTTAAATTTTTGATTGAAGTATTACTTTGTAAAGCCAGGAAATTCATGATTGTAGATAAAGTGCTTTTCTTAGGAGAGCTTTGCCAAAATGAAAAATAGGTAGATTTTTTTTCAGCGCTGTGAAATGTGCTTTGTTATTTTGTGTTTAACTTGAAATTGAACTTAATATGACAACTCATACACTTTTCTCAATGGGTTAAAGAAACTATAAATATTTAGAACATGATATAATAAAGAAACTGTTGTATAGATAGTACTTAATGCTAGTGATTTTTTTCTGTAAAGTTTTAATACTATGATCCTGTTTGTTAATGTTGGGCTACTAGCTACTATTACGTGAATATATTTGACAGAATGTTCAATAAGAACATGTTTTCCTAACTTCCTTCAGAGCTAAAACCAAAAGAAAAGAAAATCGAGACAATATTAAATGCTATATCATACACCTAATAATCATCTAAACTGGGCAAAATGAACCTTTTAGTTACAAAAAGACCACGGGGTGTTGGGTAGAGATACAGTTTAAAGTTAGACTAGGTGTCCAGTCTTCACAATGGTCTAGGATTGATCCCGAAAGTCAGGTTTCAGTATCTAGGCCAGCTGATCTGAATCATAATCGTTAGCTACATATAGATATTTAAAGTTTTGTTATAAGACTAGTTTTAAATGATATGTTCTTTAAGTATTAAATACATATGGGGATTTAATGACTTCATACTAAAAAGGAATCTGAACTATCTCATACATAATTTGATATTTATTTCATGTTGAAATGAAAACATATTACATAGCATGTTGCATAAGGTCTATTATAAAATTTAACTTCACCTATTCTCACATTGTAAGAAATGTAGTAACTGTTGAGTTTTAAATTGCATATGTTATTCTATCTCTGTTTCCTATATTATTATTAAAGAACTCAATTTTTATTCAATTTTTGTGATTTTCATATAGTATAATTTAATGGTATTTAGATCCCCTCCCCTATGCCCACCTTGCCCTGCCAAATTTAATGTTCTCTCTCATTCCTTCTCTCTCTCTCTCTCTCTCTCTCTCTCTCGCTCTCTCTCTGTGTGCGTGTGCACAAATATATATGCCCCCGAATGTCCTTCGGTGTGGGTTGATCCACTGGATTCTAGTTAATCTACCTGTAGTCCAATGCTTGAAAGAGACCGTCTCTGCACCTCACAGCAGTTATCTATTACCACATTTCCTTAGGTAGGGTTGGAGCTTTTTACAAAATTCCTCACGTCTATGCAAGGATTTCTTTTTTCCAGTTTGAGCTTGCATAAGACTTGTACATATTGTGATCATTGTTGTGAATTCATACGAATAACTGACCATCTGTCTGGAAAACTCTGTATCATTGTGGTCATCCACTACTTCTGGTTCTTGCAATTTTCCACCCCCTCTTCCACAATGATTCCTGAGCCTTGACTGGGCAGAAATTTGATACAGGTATCCTATTTAGGGATAAACACTCTGAAGCCTCTTGTTCTCTGCACACTGGCCAGTTGTGGGTTTATGTGTTTTTCACCATCTGCTGCATAAGGAAACTTCTCTGGTGAGAGTTGAGAGATGCGTTAACTATGAATATAACAATAAGTCATTTAGAGTCAGCTTAATACTAGAACTGTTTAGTAGAAAATTAGTATTGGGTTCTCCCCCATGTCCTGTGGCCTGATTAGCGTCAGATTCCTAAGCCTAATATCAAAATCAGTATAGGCTCCATCCTAGGAACTAGTTGTTAAAGTCAATTAAATAGTGTTTGTTTATTTTCATAATAATTGTGCCACTATTGTGCTGGTGGGTGTATCTTGCCTGGTCAGTTATTATTGTAGTTCACAGGATTCATAGCTGGGTACAGTTCATGATTAAATTCTTTTCTTCTGGTAGTTTGTGTAGTACCTTTACGCTCTATAAAATCTAGTCAGTAGAGATGTGGCTCTGAAGTCATCATCAGCTTGATTTCCCTTGTATGTTCTACCCCTCATGTATGTACTGTCTTCGGCATAGGATTGCACTATCCAGTTTGGGTGGCTAATCAAAAGCAGGATAGATGCCAATATTGTTTGAAAGTCTATGGGGCCCTGGTCAACAGTTTTGAGAAAGGGAGTCAGTCTTTGTATTGAGGTTATTTATTTTTTATTATTAGCCTATTATGACTAGAAAAGGCAATGTCCTCCTGTTATAAGATAGCTCCTTTTAATCTCTTTTTCTGATATACACATATATACTTTAAAATGTTTCTGTAGTGGTAGGTTTCCACATGTTTTTTTCTAAAGGCCTTTAGTGTTGCTTATCCATCTCTATATTCCCTCCTCTGCCCTGCACTCTCATTCCCCAGGCTCTTTCATCTTTCCTTATCTAATGTTGCCCTTTTCCCCCTTCATATAACTGCATCCTACCACCCCTCCCAAGAAGGCCCCTCTCCCATCATTATTTACTAGTATCTTGACCTCTCTGAATTATCAAATTAAAACATGCGTGGCTATAATTTCCAGGTTTGAAAAAGAATATGTGATGTTTGTCATTCTGTTTATGGGTTACCTCACTCAGAATGATAACTTCCATTTCCATCCTCTTACATGTAATTAATAATTGCATTTTTTTTAATTTTTAAAAATTATTTATTTAATAACAACATACTTAGAATTTCCAGGTTTGAAAAAGAATATGTGATGTTTGTCATTCTGTTTATGGGTTACCTCACTCAGAATGATAACTTCCATTTCCATCCTCTTACATGTAATTAATAATTGCATTTTTTTTAATTTTTAAAAATTATTTATTTAATAACAACATACTTAGAAGAAGCATATCATTACAACACAATTGACATATTCAATCCTGAGGTAGGATGCATCTCTTTC